AGATCTTCTTTGAACTCCTGATTGATTCCACTATTTCTCATACTAATAAAAATATAATTGATGAACAATGTTGCAAAGCTATCTCAAACTCCCACATTGGTAAGTCGATTTCTTTTTTTTTTTTTATCTTAATTGCATAATTAGAGATAATCATCTCTTATTTTTTATTTCATCTTACTTACATGTCTTACAATTCAAATTTAAGAATTTTTACTTTAAACAAAAAAAGATAATCATTAAATTATTTAAATTATCGATAAGTTCGATTGCAGTTTTGTGCACATGAGAATGAATCATTTGAAAAAATTTACTAATATTTCTTTACATTAGCAGAAGTATCCCGTTCACATAAAAAAAAAAAAAAGAATCATGGGCCTTCAGCTACTTTGATGGGCCTAGTAAAAAGAAGAAGAGTCTAAATTTTCAATCCAAATTGTGAAAAAAAAAAAAGAAAACATTTTGGAGTAAGAAGTAAGAACATACATATCTTTTTATATATATAAAAAAAAATTAAGATATGAGAAAGATTATTAGGTGTATGTCAGTACTTTTACATTTTTTCCCTTTTGGGCCTTACTAGTACTTACGGTTTAAACTGCACTTTTTGTGTGCAGTGTGACTGAAAACATAGTTTTCAAAGAAAAATTGTTACAATCCACTTCTCATCAATTCATTTACTCAAGCCCATGCCAACAACTTTAGAACAATACACTGGTGTGATCTTGGGCCTCTAGGCCCAGGAATTTGTGCAAATCCGGGGCCTTCCAAGACCAATAACAGAAATGCAGAAAGAAGGGAAAAGCTGTGGCTTAATTTAATTTTTAGTCTATTAACTATCACTTTGATTTCATTTTAGTTTATAAATTATATTTCATTTCTAAGTGGTCTATTAACTTTCAGATTCATTTCAATTTCGTCTACTTGGTTAAAGATTAGGGAAAACTTCCTATTATGTTAGAGAACAGTTAGTCCTCTAATTATATTTTTTTTATCTTTTAGTTCTTAAATTTATATTTATTATAAAATTAACTCTTATACTTAAAATTATTATTTTTAAACTCTAATACCAAATTTTTATACTTAAAATTATTATTTCTAAGTGGTCTATTAATTTTCAAGCTCTGATACCAAATTAAAAAAATAGAGAAACTTAGATAAAAATCTGGATTCAGAGTCTATAAATAATAATTTTAAGTAAAAAAGTTATTTTTATAACAAATATACATTTAAGGATTAAAAGATCAAAAAAAATATAGTCAGAAGACTAACTATTCTCTAACAGAATAAGAAGTTTTCCGTTATCTTTGACCAAGTAGACGAAATTGAAATGAATCTGAAAGTTAATAGGTCACTTAGAAATAAAACATAGTTTCTAGACTAAAATGAAATTAAGGTGATAGTTAATAGACTAAAAATTAAATAAAGCCGAAAAGCTGTACAGCTGTATACTACGGAACAAACTCGTGTTTCCGGATGATAAACAGCCACCTGGCGCGTCGGAAATTCGCTCCCTTTCGCTTTTGTTTTGATTCTCGTCATCATTGCAGATATTATCGCCTTCTGTTTCGGTAATTAAGATTTTTCTAATTTGTGGGAAGACACGGTTTAAAAGTGATAAATATTTGTTTTTTAAAATAAATTTATATTTAATTTATAAATTTTATAATTAAATTTATTGCATGAATTGCAGACCCATGTGACCCAATGGTAATCATATTGTTTTTCGGTAGCAGGTGAACTGCATCTTTTTTAATTATTCGATTTTTTTCAAGCATGATCAGATATTAACATTAATTATAACCATTTTTTATTGTTAAAAAAAAAATCTATTGCATGATTTTTTTTTTTTCGAACATGGAAAATTTGAAAAGAAAGAGATAAATTTATAAGTAATGGAAGAAGAATTGAGTTTTTAATTATTTGAACTTAAATTTTTAAGTTTAGTTGTGAATTATTTAGTCTATTGGGCTGGTTCAATATTGCATACATTATCTAATGACATGGTCAAGGTATAAGGACATGCTAAAGGCATAAAGAAAAGTTGTAAAATAACATTACCTATTATGAAAATTTCAATTTCAATGTAACATACTAACATATTAGGTTTGAAGAGTATATTAAATATGTATTTTTATAATTAATTTATATTAAAA